TATATATATATATATATATATATATATATATATAAAAAGCATTACTTTCTTTCAAAATAAATTTTTACTGACCCTTTTGGATACTTACATATATATAAAAAATTGCTCCCAGAAGGACAGATAAAATAAGATATGTAAATAAGGGTTTGGTGCAGACAGCATTGTCTTTTTCCAGCCAAAACATCGGTGAAACGCGTAGAACAGGAAACAGACTGGGCACCGATACCTTTGGAAAGTATGTTCTGCCAAGGTGTGCTGCTTCAATCAACCCAGTCAGATCCTCAAGGCAATCTCTCAGGAATGAGAGACCCCTCATTTGCCCGCTCATCGCCACCTAGTGACCATCATCCCCAACAATAATGAAATATCTCTGTGGCCCATGCCCCCATGCCAACCATAACTCTCTTTTACTGCAGACAGCTCCAATAAAGGATTACAATTACAATTAAAGTAATGAGCAAAGGGGAGGAAAAAAGAGAAAAGTCCGAGGATGGATCCCAAGGCAAATTAAATTGCAGCACAGTTTGAAAGTGAGCACAGAGTAAGTCTTTTGGGTTATTATCGGCTAACCACCCCTCATTCCCTCAATAATTAACTTTCAAGTTTTGTAATCAGGAACCAGAGAAATTGAAACAAAAGTCAAAAGTCCCTAAATGTCTACAGTGACCCATAGATCAAACCTCACCTATAATGAATGCTCCTGGTGGATCACCTATACTTTCTACCATCGGTGTTATTTTAAACGAATCCCTGCAAGGTGGAAGCACATTTCAAAACCAACATTTGAGCAACAGATGTGTCTCCAATGCCTAGAGGGCAAGAGGCAACAGCAAGGTGTATAATATAAAGAAAATAATGGTGTAAATGAGATAGAGCACCAAGTCAACGCAATGGCCAAAGTCAACATTGGCATACCGTCAGGCAGACCCCAATTCCTAGGCTTTGGGGATGTTGTCTCTTTTTTTCCAGCATTGTGGTGATAGCAGAGGGGCTCCGGAAATTCAGAGACTGCCGAGCCAAAACAGATCACTTCAAAGCGCCTTATTTAACGCTTGCTAAATTTTTCATCACAGTTGCTTAATATCCTGGGGAAGGGGAGCTTTTGAAGTTGCGGCGAGAGTGGGATGTTCTTCTGACAACTTTCCTTTTTTTTTCTCCCCCTCCCTCCTCCTTTCACCTCCTCCCTCTGCTCCTGCATCCCTCGCTCTTTCCACAGGAGGCCAGTGATATTTGGGGCGCACGGTGGAGCCCCAGCGGGCAGAGCGAGGATGGGAGTGTGTCCCATGGAGCCGGCAGTTACCATGCCAACACGCTGAGCGTTACAGTCACTGGCGGTAGATCGCAGGAGGGTACTGCAAAACACCACTGGAGGGAAAGATATTTAACCTTTCACACACCTTTGAGGCAGAAAGCTCACCACAGAAGTCTAAAAGGCAAACAAGAGAGCTGACAAACATGGTTCTCTGACAGCCTGAGGGGATTTGGTGGGTTGATGTTTAACTCCACCAAGCCTGAGTATATGGTTAAATCTTTGACTTTTGCTGCTACATGTAAATTCAGGTGTGTTACTCAGTTAGGAGTTTATGGGCATTCTGTGATTTAATAATTAATGCATGGGCTGATGTGCCTATGGTTGTGACTGTCAGGTGTAGACTGGGAAAAAAGAAAGAGGAAAGAGGACAGGAAAGGAAAAGGAAGAGGGACAGGGGACAAAGGGAAAAAGAACAGATGAAGGAAAAGGACGGAAAAGGTAACAGAAATGGAAAGGAAAATTAAAGGAAAAAAGGAAATTGAACAGAAAGGAATGCAAAGGAATAGAAAGGAGAGAGAAAATGTAATATAGAAGAAAATCTCCATTGAAAAGAACAAAATGAAAAGAAAAGCAAAAAGTTAAGAAAGGGACATTATAGTGAAAGAAAAGGGAAATGTAAAGGAAAAAGGAAAGGCAAATGGAAATGAAAGGGGAAATAAACAGGAAAAATCATAGAACAAAAAAGTAATAAAAAAGTAATAAAAAGGAACCAAAAAAGGAGAAAAAAAGGAAATTACAAGAAAAGGGAAATGTAAAGGGAAAAAGAAAAGAAAAGAAAAGGGCAGAGAACAGAAAGTAAAGAAAAGGAAAAGGACATGAAAGGGAAACGTAACAGGAAAAGTAAAGGCAAAATGACATGAAAGTGAAAGGGAAAAGAAAAGAAAAGAAAAGAAAAGAAAAGGAAAAGGAAAATGAAAGGGAATAGGAAAGGGGAAAAGACAAGGAAAAGGCAATGGCAAATGTAAAGAAATGGAAGGAAAGGGAAATGTAAAAGGACAGGAAAATGAAGGTGAAAAATGGAAAGAAAAGAACACAAAGAAAGTAAATAAACAAGGAAAAGAAGAAATAGAAAAGTAAAGGGAAGGGAAGAAAAAAGTAAAAGAAATTAAAAGGAAAGGGAACGGGAAATATACAAGCAAAGAGCAATACAAGGGAAAGGGAAATATACAGGACATTAAAATCAAAGTGAAAATGGAAAGAAAAGGAAAAGAACAAAAATGAAAGTAAAAAGGAAATGGAGAAGGAAAAGAAATGAGAAGAAAGGAAAGAAAAGGAAAAAGTGAGGGGGCGGTTAAATAAAGAAATAACGAAGTAGGGCGCAGTGTGTGGGAGAGGGACAGGCCAGGAAGGACAACCCCTGGAGGCGAGAGCTCACCCCTGAACGCGACTGGTACTGGATTTGACTGACAGGCCAGAGTGCAGCGCAGGTCCAAACCTGCTCTAGCTCAGACTCCAGCCAGAGTCGCCTGCCACCGAGGAGGGCGAGGTGAGTCAGAACCTGTTAACGTGACTGGTGTCCCCAGCCTGACACTCCGGCACTCGCGCTCAGAGCCTCCCTCCAGCCCTGCCACTATTCCCCTTCTGCTCATCCACATCAAATCCTTTCAGACACAGATTTCAATTATTCACCCCATCCAAATAATGCCTTGTGACATGAATTATCCAGAGCTGTAATAATCCACTTAACTGGGAAAGAGCAAATACACAGCCTAATTGTCCAATGATAGTAAATGTGCCATAGATAATCCAAGAACTTCCAAGTTTAAGAGCAATAAAATAAAGAGAGTAGTGAGTGAGGATTACTCATGTTCATACCCAGGCTGTTCACAAAACTGCCTGCTAACAAATCATATACTAATTGACGGTCAAATGTTTTCAGATAATCACAGTCAATGACATCTTTGACATGCTGAAAAGTACATTCAATCAATGAAATATCATGATCATACACTATAGGTTCAAAAAGTTTAGGGTTGGTAAGATTTTTTTATATTTTTGTGCAATATTATTATTACAATTTAAACTAAAAGTTTTCTGTTTTAATGTATTTTCAAATGTAATTTATGTCTGTGCAAAGCTGAATTTTCAGCAGCCATTACTCCAGTCTTCAGTGTCGCACAATCCTTCAGAAATCATTCTAATATGCTAATTCGGTGCTCAAGAAACATTTCTTATTATAATTATCAATGATGAAAACAGTTGATTCGGTGCTCAAGAAACATTTCTTATTATAATTATCAATGCTGAAAACAGTTGTGCTGCTTAATATTTTTGTGGAAACTTGTGGATATGTCTTTATTTGATTAATAGACAAATTTACAAAAAAAGTTACAAACAGCATTTGATAGAAATAGAAAAGCTTCACTAAACAGCATCCACTGTCCATTAGAGCGTTTAGTCCAGAAGTGAGCACATTAGGTGAAATATTGCTATCTTTACACGTTTACTTTGCATTTCTTTTGATAGAATCATCATTTCTATTCATTTTCCACAGAATTACGCGATCGGATTAGCATTAGCTGCTTACAGTGCTGTCTCTGTATGTTTTTGTTCTGTCTCAGTCTGTTTTCTCTTCCGCAATCGTCGTTATGACACAGTGGAAACTCATTCGCTGTTCATATGTCACACATATACACGTTCATAACCTGCCCTGTCTCTTCCGATCACAAGCTTCTCCTAAACTTCAACATTCTGTTCTGTCCACAGCAAACCCTGAGAAACATTTAAACACACGAAACATGAAGCTAATAAACACACGATTACAACAGTATATGATTTTTTTTCTGATTTCCATGAGATTTGTTAACATGAGAAATGCTAAGCAGGTACATATGTAGCATGATGCAAATTGTAGCTCTAATGTTACCCTGCTGTGCTTATATTTCATGATGTAAGAAAATGTTTTGTTTTCTATAAAGACTCTTTTATTATAAATGGATAAATCTATATTGGGATCAATGTGGATGAAGAGGTTTTATAAAATGAAAAATAGAAAGCTGAAATGTTCTACCTGTGGTTGTGCACTGTGTAGTAGATGGACAAAATGGCTTTAATGCAATCTTATGTTTATGTTCAACTATGCTGTAAAAGGACCCCTTTTAGCTGTTATGCTGTATTTAATAATTGTTCAACAAGTCAGCATTTTGTAGAATATGCTTGAACCTGATAATTGTTGTTTTCTTTGACTAATTATTAGAACACCTAAATACAACTGCCAGTTGAAGGTACAGTACAGTATGTGTGCACATGATCAGCATGGTACCACCAGGAAAAACCCATTTATATGTATATGTATATATAATCTCACTGACCCCAAACATTTGAACAGTAGTGTACCTATAGACCTACAAGACTAATAAAGTGGTAAATTCTCTGTAAAATACAGCCTCGTCTGGGTTATTGTTTTACAACAACAGCAATATGACTAAAGACACCAATGACCAAGAAATATTCAAATAATGTCCTTGAACATGACTCATCCAATTAAATTTCAGAGCAGAGCATTCTTATAAAACTCAACCAATTAAAAAAGCAGGCAATACAAAAAGCAGAACCATACCATTTTATTATACTCATATGGTAATAATAATGTTAATGCAAACCAATTCATTAAAATTTAATCCGGTGTTTCAGTCTGTTTGTACTGGTATAAAACGGATGCTGTTGAGTCAGACTCATAATCACTTACCAGCGCTTCTCTTGGAGGCACGTCTTCTCTGGCCGGAGCAGCGTTCTGAAAGAGAACAGCAGCCTTGTGTTACAGCGCCATCTAGTGGCAGAATTTATGACATTTGGTTCTATTATATTACAGTACAGCATTTGACACTACATGACGGCTCTAACCAAAGAAAACATTTTGGGAAAAAAATAAATAAATTTCAGCAAGGATGTATAAAATCAATCAAAAGTGACAAAGTAAACATTTATAATGTTTAACCTCAAGTTCCACTAACCCTGACTGTCTATACGCTGTAATATGATTCTTGACGGACTTTAGAGTTTACTGCATTGCTGATTGCCGTTTAGTGCCATTAATACTCCTGCCTTTATCATCATTGTGCAATTGCACCAGGCTTGGTGTCTCTTCAGTCTCTTCACTGTTTTGGTTCTGATAAGTGCATGATACCATTTGTTAGATCCACTTTAGAGCACTAAGTAAGCCTGCAAGGTTCCAATTAGGATATTTAATTTACTAATTAGCCATTCAGTTGACTCTTTTAAGAAAAACTGACTTACTGTAAAAGTAGTTGTCTTCTGAAAGCAGCCTTGGGCTAAACGTTAGGCTCAAGGACACAGTAGTAACAGTTTATATATCAGTGTTGTAAATTTTGGGGTCAGATTATTTATGTTTTTGAAACAAGATTCTTTTGTTCAACAAGACTGCATTTATTTGATAAAAACAGAAAAATATTGCAATTATTATATAATTATTGAAATATTTTAATAATTCAAAACAATTGTTTTCCATTTTAATATATTTTACATTTTTCATTTTTTGTGTAAAAGCTCTAAAATTTAGTGTCTATGCTACAACATCTGCTATGTAAGAGCTGCAGATTTTCAAAACCTGATTGTAACTAAAGGCATTTCATTACTCCCAAAAATAGGCCAAATATCAGCACACTGAACTTCTTATCTAGGCTGGTTTACACTCTCTAACAAACGGCAACATTGCAAACATTCTGAAGCTGGCAACAGATTTTGTATGTTAAGAATTATAACTGTCATTTTCACACTGCGCCAACACACACCAACAGGGTTGACACACTGATTGCAACCGTTCTTAACTTCAGAATAGAGGCCAGGCATCCTCAACACACTTCCAAAAAAAGTGATTAAAAATAAGCATATCTGAAACAGTCATAGCATTCATAGGTTTCCTATGCAAGTACTTATGACAAACTTATGTTTCCATTAACAGTATTCAATAGCGAAAAAAGCACAGGAATTATCATGCGAGCGAGATTCACATCCTAACCTTAAAGCTGAGACGTTAAATTAATTACAAGAACATTTAGCTAAGAAGATTGCAAGCCCAAAAATGAAAAGTCTGTCATTAGTTGGGGAAAAAAAAAAATCATGGGAAAAATATGCATTGGAAATGAATAGTGATTGAGGATCACATCAGGTCTTGTGTCCCAATTAAAATATAATGAAAGACTGTTATCCCTTTAATTCATTGTTGATTTATATAGAATATTTTAAGTTGTAATAATTAAAAGTACTTTAAATAATTTCAAGAAAAATGTAAGAGCATGAATCAGGTTTAAAATTTTAGAAGATAAAGATGAGTAAAAAAAATGTAAGTAATAGAGTTTAATTAAGTAGGCTATTAATAAAAATGAATATGATCCATTTTAAAATAAAATGTATGAAATATTGTCAATTAATATAATTTATAAATATATTTTTATTATAAACTATTACAAATATAAAACATATAAGCACACAGCCTGAAACAAATGTGAGACATCACGTTCTTATACTAATTCAGTTAAGAATGCAATTAAAATGAATGTGTTTACATCCTTTGATTTGATTTGATTTTTTTTCCCATTACTGATTTTGCATCAACCCTGAATCTGTTAAAGTATCATATCTCTCTAACATTAGCCTACCTTTATTTTTCAAAGATACAGGTTTGGAACAAGATGAATGTGGGTAAATGATGACAGGGTGAACTATCCCTTTAATTCTTTGCTGATACATTTCATAAATAATGCTTGTATGTCGGCTGTAAACAGATAAAACTGAGATCTTTACTGAGACAGATGAGCACATGGAGAGATGAATGTGTCATGTTTTCAGGGTCAACGACCCTGACTGAATATTACTGGATAATTGTCTATATAGCACTTATATTATTTCACAGAGACTGGCACATTAATATCTGCAGTGGAATCTCCTGTATGCGTATTCTCTGCGGCCTGCACCTGTCACACACATCTGTCTAACTGCATGGGATGAGACAGTGAACAGGGCGCTAGCAAATCAGCTAAAACTTTTCCAAAACAACATGGGACTGCCAGATTATGAGCTTACCAACAATTAAAGCGTGACAAATCGCGCATTTACTGTGCAGGTCCACGGCGGAAAAATCAAATGCATGTTGTTAGCTGGTTGAACGTTATCAGCTACCTGATTTTGGTGGTCAGGTTGGTCCGGGGATGCCATCTTCTCAGAGCTGCTAGCCAGAAGGCTAATGACGCTAACACTCCACCGGTGCTCGATTACTTCTGTCTGAACTAGTCATATGAAGTTCGAGTCATTTGCATTGATCGGTTCTTTTGAACTGTTCGTTTCAAAGAACGAGTTCAAAGTGAATATTATAGTTTTTTTCTTGATTGCTAACACACTATAACTGATTCATTTGGCACAGTTTTCCAAACCAGTCATACAGTTCTCAAAACAAAGACACGTTTCTCAAAACCTTTAACATTTCACCTGCTCTCACACATGTTCCAATTTGCTCTGTGTTTTCTGCAAAACTCTACACAAGAACAGCATCATTTTGCACAGGTTTAACCATGTTCTCATTTAGAAAACACAAACACACAATATAACTACCTCAAGAATCACAAAATGAACACAAATAGCACACATTTATCCATGTGTGAACATTACAGTTTTTCTGAATTGCTAACAGAGCATTCATCAGACACTACAGAGAAAAATGGAGAAGACTGCATCCAGAACATTACAGAAAAAAAGCATATTGTATTGAGTAAACAATTTTGCAATTCTGTAAAAAATTATAGTAATTACAACTGAGTAAGGTGAATATATTGTATAGGCCTACTGTATGTACTGCAAGAATAGTACTGTGCTGAATATTGAATAGTACTGAATGTTTATATATATTTAGCACTTGGATACTGCAAAAAATAATGCAGTCCAACTGCAAAGGCCAAAAATGAATAGCATGTTACAGTACACTCAAATACTGTAAGTTGTCTTTGTCTTTGTGCTTGGTCCGGCCTGAGGACTTTGTCCACATCACAAGTAATGTTGTCTTTTTTGATAGACAAAGAGAAAAAAACCCTCTGGTCTGACAGATCCAGCCTTGATAACACTCTCTATACTCTTTCTCTTCTCTC